ACTGTAGTGAAGAATGCTTATCAGGATGGATTATGAGGGTTGGAAATGCAAAGGTAGGCGATTTTGAACAAGGAAGGGAGTGATTCATTCTACAGACTAGGAGCAGAGCTATCTGGAACCTTCAACAGAGAAATGCCGAGAGCGGGACCCTACCCAGAGAAACAGAGGTGCATGAGATGGAGACAGAGACGTGGAGCAATGAAGCGGCTGGGGACTTTGGATCCAGAGAGGGAAAGGGACTGTGGGCCGAAAACTGGAGGGAGGGGGGGGGGGGAAGGGTAGGGGGCGGGTTTCTAGGATATACCCTTTGGCTGGTTGATGATGCATGGAGGGGATTGGAACCATGGCAATGAGATGATATATGTTGGAATGAATGTAAAACTAAAGTTCTCTCATGTAAACTACCAGGTAATTCACAATAAAACATAAAAAAAAAAAGTCTGTGGCCAGCAGTTGTATTTTAAAAATATTTTATTTTTTGAAGTCAGTAATGCATATAGAAGGAGCTCTGGTAGCGTAGTGGTTATGAATTGGGCTGCTAACCTCAAGGTCGGCAGTTTGAAACTACCAGCTGTTCCGCTTTCTGCTCCTGTAAAGATTTACAGCCTTGGAAATCCTGTACGGGGTCACTGTGAGTCGGAACCAACTCCACGGCACATAACAACAACAATAATATAGTACAAAATACAAAAAAATACAAAAGGAGATACAGGGGAAAGTCTCCCAGTCCTGTCCTTCCATCTGCCTGCCCACTTTCCTTCCCCACAAACTACCATTGTTTGCAAGAAGTTAACCCACAAATGTAATCTCACACATATGAAATATGCAAGAATATTCATTACAACACTATCTGTAACAGCAAAAGAAACCATTGAAATGTCCTTCGATAGGGTACTGAATGAAGAAATTTTGGTTTATCCATTTAACGAAACATCACATAGTTGTAAAGTAGAAGGCAGCTGTCTATGTGTAAGTGTTTATAAGTGAAACAGCAGACTTCAGAAGAACACGCATAGTATGCTGTTTGTGTTTTTAATATAAAGAAGTAGGTGTATATGAAGGCAAATTTCTAAGGGTGAGCAAGAAGGCAAGGGTAGTTTATCTGGGGATGAAGGGCTGAGAATATCTGGGGACTGGTAAGAAGGTCTCTGAAATCTGGGGAGTAAGGGAGAGCAGCCAAGATGAAGTTAGCAAATACCCACCTCCCTTTCTACTTTTTTTAGACGAATAGCAGCATGTGTTCTATACCTTCCTTTCCCTCTTCATTTCTTTTGGGTGGGTCCTTTTCCTATCAAGGCATTCAAAGCAGCTGTTTTGTTCTTTCAAGGCTCCATAGCAGTTCATAGGCACCTTGTGATACAGGCTGTGTCATGGGCTGATAACCAAATAGTCCCCAGTTTGAACCCATCAGCCCCTGCATTGGAGAAAGATGGGACAATCTGCTTCCATAAAACTCACGGGGCAGTTCTACCCTGGCCCACAGGGTTGCTATGAGTTGGAATTGACTCTATGGCTGTGGGTTTGATTTTTCTCATTTTCAGTTTTATAGCAATTCATTGTTTATCTTTTGTTATTACAAATACTAATATAATGAATAACCTCTTACATACTTCTTTTACACTTGGCAAAGATGTATCTGACGCTTAAATTCCTCCTATGAGAGGAACTCCTGCATCAAACAAAAATTACTTTTGTAATTTAAAAATACATTAGCATATTGTCACCTCCAGAGATTATACTAATATATATGCCCATCAGCTGTAAGAGTGCCTGTTTCCCAAATGCTGTCACCTAGGAGTCTTATCAAACATTTTGATCTTTGCCAACCTGATAATTAAAAAGCACTATCAGAAACCCTGTTCAGGGTCTCTATGGGTCGGAACCGACTCGACGGCACTTAACAACAACAACAACATCATCAGAGTTGAAAGGAGCTCAGGTAGCATAGTGGTTATGAGTCAGGCTGCTAACCTCAAAGTCAGCAGTTCAAAACTACCAGTTGTTCCACTGGAGAAAGACGAGGCTTTCTGCTCCCGTAAACATTTACAGCCTCGGAAACCTTATGCAGGGTTGCTATGAGTGGGAACAACAATACGGCACACCAACATGGCACACCACCACCATCAGTGTGGAGTCAGTGTTGAGTCCTGGTGTGATGATGTGGGTTAATGCATTGGACTGCAATGAACTGCAAGGTTGGCAGTTCAAGTTCATCAGCTGCTCCTCAGAAACCCTATACAGCGTGACTATGGGTCAGAACTGACTAGGAGGCACATAACAACATCAGTGTTGTTTGGTTGGTTTGTCTGGAACATTTTATCGTGGTTTAGGTGAAAGTTTATAGAGCATTATTTCCTAAACAACAATTTATATACATTTTGTTTCTTGGCGTCATTGTTATTAAAGGCCATTGCCCTTGTAAAGGGTTTGTGAGGAGCAGCTGATGGGTTTGAACTGCCGGCCTTATGGTTAACAGTCCAATGCTTCCCCTACAGTGCCACAGCAGGATTTCATTAGCTGCAGTCAATGGAATAGTGCTCCTCCCTCTCCCGCCCTGGGTTCTTTCCATTCACCGTCTTCCCAGCCCATTCTTGCCTTCTGAACTTTATTTTTGGGCAAACATTGCCCTTTTGGTCTCGGATGAGTGATTGTTCTGAGGAACACATTCCTCACCATGTCATTGTTCCCTTTAAAGGTCTGTCTATTGCTTAGTTGGAAGGCTATCTCCAGGAGTGGGTTCAGTTCCAGGATTAAAAGGTGTCTAAGGACCATAGACTTGTGGGTTCCACCTTTCTCTAGCAAACAAGTAAGTCTGGTCTTTTATGACTCTTTATTTTTTCTACAATGTTCTCCCACTCTGCTTAGGCCCTTCTATTGAGATCCTGATCAGAGGGTGTTCAGCAGTGGCAGCTAGGTACTATCTAGTTCTTCTGGTCTCAAGCCAGAAAAAGCTGTGCTTTGTGTGGCCCATTACTCCCTTGCGCCAATTATTTCCCTGAGTCTTGTTTTACGTGTTGGGCTGCTAACCACAAGGTCAGCAGTTTGAATCCATCTGCCACCCAGCAGGAGAAAGAGGAGGCTTTTTGCTCCCTTAAAGATTTACAACCTTGGAAGCATTCCATATGGTTGCTGTGAGTCAGAATCAACTCACTGGCAGTGGGTTTGGTTTTGGGGTTTTGATCTTTCATTCTTCTTTGTTTTAGACAGGAAGAGACCACAGGTGTACCTTAAATAGCACCTTGCAAGCTTTTAAGACCCCAGTTGCTCCTCACCAAAGTAGAATGTAGAACACTGTCTTTGTGGACTGTGTTATGCCAGTTGACCCAGATGTCCCCCAAGACTATTAGACCTGGGCCTTCAAGCCTTTCACTTGTTACAAATGAAGATCAGAACATTTTCATATGTTTAAGAACTGTTTATTTCTGTCTGCTGAAAACATCTCAACGGACATAGTAACCTAGAGCAAATTATTGAACTTTTTGTGTCATCCATTCATTGGGACTAAAAATAGTAAATAAGATTACTGGGTGGATAAATGAAATTTATGCACAGCCCTCAACACAGTGGCTGGTACATAGCAAGCGTTCAATAAATTATGTGCTAGCTGAGAATCAGAGCAGCAGGTACAACAGTACAAAGTAAGAGAGTTTTCCGGGTCTTCAGCCACACGGAGCCTTCACTTGCGGTGCCAGTCATCACAGCTTTCTTTGTCTTGGGACAGTAAAGAATTTTCCCCCCACGGAATCCAATCCATAAGACATGGGCAGAGTTGATAAGGGGATAAGCACAGTTTCATCTCTACTATTTAGATGTAACCCACAAATTAGGTCTAGTATGAAATAAACACATCATCAAAACAGCCTAGATGTACGTGTCTTTATTCTACCGCGGTTCTCAACTCCCAGCTCGCCTGAGTCTCTCCTTGTAAGCTTGGAGGGATGTCAAGCATCTATTCCATGAAGGGGAAGAGTGCAGGGACGTCTTCATAGAAAGTAAAGACAACATTAGAAATCTGGCTTCCTCTGAACAAGGCTACATTGTATTTTATCATCTAGAAAATAGACCTTTTTATTTGTAGCATACTAAACTGGTTTTCACAGAAGGTTCCTGTAAGATGTCGCACATGTTTAATAAAGGGCTTTGGAGACAAGCAGCCTGTCTGTGGCTTTGCTTGGTGCTGCTTGGTAGATTGTGAATGTTTACCCAAAGCTACAGAATATTTTCTTTGGACTTGTATAAAGGCCTGACTCTCCCTTCCTTACTGACTTCTCATACTTTTCAAAATGCCTTCTTGCTGCTTTCTCAGGCTCCTTGCTCCTTTTCATTTGAGTGTTTTACACTCAGCAAGCTTGTATCAGTCTTGCTTCTCTGAGATGAGGGGATCTTCTTTCCCTCCCTGGGGCCACAGAACTGGCTACCAGATGGAGTTGTGGCAAAAAGGGCCTAGACCGGGCTGGCTGAGTGACAGTGATAATTCTTGAGAGGGACCATGAGGGTTACTCCCCCAAACCCCCCAAAACAAAACAAAAACAAAAACCCTTTTTTGCTCCACACATTCTAAAGGACCCTCCCAGGGCAGATGTAGCCTCTGTCTGGAATCATCAGGATGCCGACGTGCGGATCATGGCTGGAAAGTGGTGTCTGCAGTGGGAGGCAGAAGGATCTTGCCCATTTGTACAGCTGGAGTGGGGAGCTGAGGGCCATCCTTTGGTAAGCATTCCATAGCAAGACCAGGGCAGGTGGTGAACTGGGCCTCATGGCCAAAGGCTTAAGCATTGAAAGCATTTGGTGGTTTCTGAGCCAAGCAAAGACATGGCGGCATGGAGGCAGTGTGAAGGCCAAAGCCTAAGCTGAGAGGAAAGTGGGCAAGTGGCCAGGAGCTGGACTCAGGGCCGCCTGCCTGATGTCATCCTGGTGTCTTCCCAGTGAGGTAAGTGTCCTCAAAGCTCCCCAGTGGTGGCTGGGGGCCATTTTCAGGTAGCTGCCCACACCCGTCCCTGCTACTCCTCGGCAGCGCAGTGCGGGGGGTCTGCCATGGACACGTAACCTGACGAGCAGTGACAGCGGTAGGAACCCTCCGTGTTCTCGCAGTGACCATGGGCACAGAGCGCGGCAGGTCCATCCAAGTCCTCACATTCATTCACGTCTAGGAGGAAGCAGGGAGGGGAGAGCTGTAGGCAGTCCAGGAGCCTCTGGCCTGCTGTCCCTCCTTGCTGTTGACTCCTAGGGGTGGCAGCTAAGGCTGAAGTCACTTCCCCAAACTCAGGGATGTGAAGCACATGGTGGTGAGCTCATGCTCTGCTTCCCCTGCCCACCTCTGTCTAGCACTCTCATGGAAAGGATTCCCGTCCCCATGGACGTTCCAGCTGTCATGGACTCTGTAGGACAGCTGCACGTGGCCTTCTCCACACAGGCCTCAGGGCCCTCCCTCTCCTGACTGTGACTCACCCACACAGGCCATGTGAGCTGTGTCCAGCTGGAAGCCCTCAAAGCAGTCACAGGTGTAGCCCTCCCGCACACGCACACACCGGCCATTCTCACAGCCGTTCAGGATGCCACACTCCTCAGCCTGAAGCCCCTCGAAGCCGGCCTGCTCATCTGCTGGGAGGGAGTTACAGAAAGAGGTGCAGGTCTTAGACTCTAGTCTCTCCAAGCCTGGATCCACTGCTCTTGGGGGTTTTCCCGCCAGGGTGGAGGTCATACAATTCTCACAGAAAGGTGCTAAACACTCATACAGCCATGATTGTAGAGGAACCTACAGGGGGCAAAATTATGAAAACTTCTTAAGACATAACCAAACATCCTGAGGGAATGAGTCAGGGCAAATAAAAGGTAATACTGTTTAAAAATAAATATGTGCCATTTTAGGTGGGGGAGTCATGCATGGCTTGACGGAAGTGCCCCCGGAAGACTGGGACTGACTTCTTCCACAAAGCTAGAGCTCCTGAGCAGTTGGGGGCCTCTTTAGGAGTTTCTGGTTTGAGTGTCAGTGTTTGGGGGTTGTGGCCAGTACTGTGTTCACTGCGCAGGTGCCAGGCCTGACCTGACTTCCTTATTAGAATCCAAATCCTGAGTGCTGGGGTTGTCAACAAAGCAGGCCTTTAAAGTGACTCAAAACCCTTAATTCACATTTTAAAGCAGGTTATTCCTCACACTGTGAGAGATATGGTGGGTGACTTGTTAACCAAATGAGAAAAAACAGTCTTCTCACTCTGCTCTGTGGCCCTGTGCTAGTTCCTCACATGGGGTCATTAGGTCTGACCCAGGCATTTGGAGTTGACCCTGAGTGACCCATGTGAGGAGAACGTCTGACTTGGTGTGTCTTTTCCCTTCCTCATGACTAACAGGAGAAGGAAGTGAAACTGCTTCTGCGCGCAGCTTTCCTGTGTTTACAACCACACAGACCTGGCTGGCTGGCCACATAGTGCAGCTGGGCTTCTGGAGGCTGCAGGGGAGACTCCAGGATGGTTGTGCGGTCCCCTGGGTGGCTGGCCGTGTGGAAAGGTGGCTCAGCGATGTTGTCCTCAGGGCCCAGGTAGTTGTAGAAGGGGGCTCCATCAGGGCCATAGAGACTGTAGTGCAGGTCATCAGACCCAGGGCCATACTCGTAGCCTGGCCGGAAGAGGACCCCGGCCTCCCGCTCAGCTTCGATGCGTGCCACGTTGCACAGCTGAGCGTAGACCTCTGTCAGGGAGGAGGGAGACAGATGGTGGGCCCCAACCCCTAGGAACTAGAACCCAGTTGGCTGCTTCCCTGGTTCTCCTCTCCCTGGGAGTGTGGTGGCTCTGTAGGATAAGCACTGGATTGCTAACGACAAGGTCAGAGGTTTGAGCCCACCAGCCGCTCCATGGAAGAAAGATGAAGCAATCTGGCCCTGATAAGACAGAGACAGCCTTGGGAACCCTGTGCACGTTCACTGTGAGTTGGACCTCCCCCTGGGAGAGATGGAACAGCAGCAGGTGAGACAGCGTAGGGGAAGTGAAGAATGCAGCTGTTCATCTCCTTGTCACAACCACGCTCCTCTGGGAGCTCTGGGCAGCGAACCCCTCCCTCCCACATGGTTCCCAAACAAGAAGGATCAAGGCCCCCGGGCTACCACTATGACTACCCCACTCTTTCTTTCTAACTCTCCCCATTCCAAGGTGAGGGTATTCCTCTGACCTGGGGCCAGCCCAGCTCTGTGGGGTCTCCATGTCCCTCCACTGAGCGACCTCTCACCAGAGTTCCTGGGGGGGCACAGGGCACACTGCTGGCTCCAGGCTTCGCCGTCCTGGCAGCAACATTCTGTGTATGTAGTGCGGTGCCCACGCAGAGGCTGGCTGCACAAGTAATTGGTGACTTTTTTCCAGCAGATGTCCATGTGGATGTCATGGTCAGGGAGGTCGTCTGCTAGCACAAGGCACAGAAGCATGTAAGCCCCCCAGGCCCACCTCCACACCCCACGCTACGCTGCTAGTCCAGGCCCACTCACCCACGTTGCTGGTGCTATTCACACAGCGCTGCCGGCCAGGGTCCAAGACGAGTGGGGGGCTGCAGAAGCAGTGGAAAGAACCTTCTGTGTTCACGCATTCGCCGTTCTCACAGGCCAGGGCTTGGCACTCATCATGGTCTGCGGTGACAGGAAGGAGGAAGAGCAGGGTGGCTGGCCGCAGTGCCAAGGTGACCACCCACCGAACACCTACCTCCCTGTGACTGATGATGAAGCCCAGCCTGGGAGACCCCTCCTCGGGGATGCCTTTCCACAGGTCCCACATACACACCTGACAGCCCCGTGGCCCCCCTCACCTCAGACCTGCCCACCACAGTGGACATCTTCCCCAGGAATGGGACTCTCACCCTCACACTTCTTGCTGGAGGCATCATAGCGGTAGCCGGGGTCACATAGACAGATGTAGCTGGGCACTGTGTTGAGGCACCGGCCATTCTGACAGAGATCCGGCCCAAACATCACACACTCGTCGGCATCTGTGAGAGGCAGAGCTAACTCCAGGGCAAGTTGGGAAGCAGTATGAGGCAGAACTTATGACTGGGGTCTGCAAAGCTGGACTCTGGGTTTGATTTCAGGCTCTGCTGTTTGGACAAGTTACTTAAGTATTCCTTGCCTAAGTTTCCTATTATAAGATGTGGATTACAGTGCAGTGTGGCACTGTAGGAGAATCACTGGACTGCTAACCACAATATTGGTGGTTCAAACCCACCAGCTGCTCCTTGGAAACCCTATGCAGAGTTGCTATGAGTCGGAATCGACTCGAGAGCAAATAACAATATAGTAGTATAGTTGACTCTTGAACAACATGGGTTTGAATTTCGTGGGCTCATTTCTGTGTGGCGCTAAGTCCTGGTGTGGTGCTGTGGGTGAATGCACTGGACTGCAAGGTTGGTTTGAACTGCATGGTCAACGGTTCAAGCTCACCAGCTGCTCCTCGTAAACCCTATACAGGGTCGCTATGGGTTGGAACCAACTCAGCAGCACTTAGTAACAGCAACAGTCATCTCTGTGTGAGTGGCTTGCTTCTCCAGTAAAAGCCAATCCCTTACCCTTCCTTCCCCCAACCAGAGAGACGAACTGCTGAAGTAGAGGTGATTAGCATCACACGGCATTTTGAGCGGATACTCACACCTGAGCTCACTGCCCGAGCAACAGGAATAATCCACAAATGAAGTGGGTGGGAGAGTTCATACCCGGTCTGTTCAAGGGTCAGCACCCCTCCTACTTACCACTTAGGTAAACTGGTAGGAGGATTAAATGGTGTCATGTATGTAATGGGAAAACGATGAGACTTCTTGCTCCCACAAAGATTTACAGCCTTAGAAACCCTATATGTGGTCTTTGGAACCCACTCCACAGCACATAACAGCAATGTATGTGAAGTACTTAGAAGAGTGCTTTATCACCAAGCAAGTTCTCAAGGAAGCTGCTTCTGTTTCTATTATTCTCCAGCTTCAAGACTGGGGCACTGAGGGGCCACCTGAACCTCCCCACGGTGAGACGGGTTCCCCAAGGTTCTGGCTTCCTAAAGGGGGCCCAGGAAAGAAACAGACACCTCTATGCAGGAATACTTCCCACTCTGACCCCATGTCCACATGTAGCAGTGATGAAAATCAGTTCAAGGCCTCAGAATTTGTTTCTGGAGACTTTCCTTCAAGGGAAACTGGGGCAAGGCTTGTATGGACCCTCCAGGAAGAGCTTGGTTCAGAGCCTTCAGCTAAAATCCTGCAGGGGGTCAGCCCTGGCCCAGAAAGGAGAGATGCTACCTGAGAAGCCAGGCTGGGTCCCTAGAGAGGTCCCAGCTTCCCTAGAGGTCTCCTGCAGGATTAGGCTGGGGCATGCAGAAAGGTCACCTGTGTACGTGGTCTGTCCAAACATCCAGGCACCTTCCACAGGGATGTAGCCTTTACCGCTGGGGCAGATCTCACTGAATTCCACTGTGCGGGGAGGAAACCAGTTCAGGGAGGGAAGAGGTCGGCTGTCCTTACCTTCTCCCCTCTTTTCAGTGTTGCCCTGCAGAGCTGAACATTAGGACAGGGGGTCCCTGGGTACTTACCTGAGTCCTCTGCTGGGCAGGGCTCGCAGGCGTCTCCCCAGCGGGTGCCCTGGGTACAGCAGCACTCGGCCTGTGTGGTGTTACGGCCCAGGATGCTGGAACAGGGCAGCTGGCTCTCCTGCCCAGTGTAACATTCCATGCGGATGGGACCGACGGGGTGGTCCACTGTCGGAGCCTCAGAGATACTCTGACCTGTGTGTGAGTATTGTTATTGTCCGCTCATGGCCCCACCAGCCACCCCAGCCCTTGGATTTAATTTTTAAGTCTAACATTCATATTGCATTTTACAGTATTGACACTCTCACTTAAAGGGGTGGATGTTAAGAATATCATCACACTCCTTCTACAGATGAGGAAGCTGAGACTCAAGAAGCTCCATGACCTGCCACATGCCACACAGCTCCTGAGTGAGACAGTAGCAGCTCCTCTGAAGCCAAAGCCCCTGGCTTCCCGTATGTCACACAGCCTTCATTCCTGTAGTAGGGCCCCCAGTCCTGACATATTGATGGGCAGCTCCTACTCTAGTCTTGTACTTCATAATGTACCTCAGTCCCTCCCGCTCACACCCTCTGACTGAGCTGAGTAGTAACTGCCATCAAGCTATGGCCTCCGTCAGTGAAGGCCAGGTGAGGCCCAGTGGTTCCAGGATGGAGTCGGACAAGGAGAAGCTGGTTTAGCTGAGCTTCAATCTCGCCCACCCCCACATCCTCCACCCAAAGGGCTCCCAGGAGTTGAGGGAGGATTCAGGGTCCATCAAAGGCAGAACCTACAGTTTCTGGGACCACCCTAAGTCAGCTTCTGTGCCTCCTGTGGTGTTATCACAGCCCTGCCATCTCCCAGACACCCCCTAGCTCTGGTCTTGACATTTGTCACAGGTTCTATTCCTGGGCCACACCCCTCCCCACACTGTACCAGCCCTGTCCAGGCCCTCTCATAACCTGCCTTGCCTGCTTCATGCATGCAGACAGGGATGGGGAGGCTTTCCTGTTTGCAGGGTCTCACCTCCAGCCGCCCGCGGACGGCAGCGCCCCTCCTGAGCATCGTACTCCTCCAGGTCGCTGGGGCAGAGGCATAGGAAGGAGCCCTCCACATTCTCACAGAACGCAGCCCCACACACGGCCAGCATGAGCTCACACTCGTTTACATCTGTCAGGCGTGAGGACAGGCGCATGGGCCGAGAAGAGGCAGCCCTGCCCAGTAGGCAGGCATTCATCTCAACCCCACCAAAGAACCCCCATACAAAGTAGGTACGAGGAGGAGCAGATGAAGAGGGGCTGGGGAAGGAGAGAAGCTGAGAAGAGTGGCAGAGAAAGAGGGTCACAAAAGTGGACAGGGAGGAAGGTTCCCTCTGTGTGCATCCCCCAAGGAACCTAGAGAAAGATGTCACCTCCGCGCAAGTGCTGGCGCCCCCTGCCGGTGGAACGTGGCCATGCTTCCCCACCAACCCGCCAAGCTGTGGGATGGAGGGAAACTCTCTCTACTCCTGGAAGCCTTCCCACTCCACAGGCCCTATGCCTGGGTGTGAGCCCTGCTGGCCTATGCGTTGTGTGTTAGGCTGCTAACCACAACCCTATCAGCTGCTCCACAGAATAAAGATGAAGCTGTCTGCTCCCGTAAAGAATGACAGCATTTCTACCCTGTCCTGTCGGGTCACTGTTGTTGTTGCTAAGTGCCGTCGAGTCGGTTCCGACCCATAGCGACCCTGAACAGGGTTTCCCAGGCTGTAAATCTTTACGGGAGCAGAAAGCCTCATCTTTCTCCCGCGGAGCAGCTGGTAGTTTCGAACTGCTGACCTTGCGGTTCGCAGCCCGATTCGTCACTAGAAGTTGGAAACGACTCGGTCGGTGGCTGTGGGTTTGACTTGGTCACCATGAACATTTTAGGAGGCGGGTCTTAGGCTCTCCCTCCAGGATGATAAAACTGGTGGCAATGGGAAGGGCCCAAGGGCCTGGTAGCCCACAAACCTCTCACCAACACAGTCCCAGCCTGAGGGCGAGGTCTCAAAGCCCTGGTCACAGAGGCAGCGGAAGGAGCCGTCAGAGTTGTCACAGAAGCCATGGTTCCCACACACGGTGTCATTGGCACACTCATCTATATCTGTGGGACAGTGGGGCCAAATTATAGGGCCTCTCTTTTCTTCTCCCCTATCCCCTAACACCCTTCTAAACCGGAAATATTTATTTGCTTGATCTGTTAACACTGACATCTACCAAAACAATTCCTAAATACAGGATAAGAACATGCAAATATTAATATTCTCTTCAATTTTTGTGTAAGCTCTGCAGTAAAGAAAAGATACAAACTTTAAACAACTGCAGAAACTGTGTCTTTGGAAGGAAAGAGAGTTTGTATATTAATTCAAAAGAAGTGAGCCCTCCTCTCCGCCCCCACGCACCGATGCAGTCTCCAGACGGGGTCATGTGGAAGCCCTGCTGGCAGGCCAGGACACAGCGGAAGGAGCCAGGGCTGTTCTCACACCTCCAGGCTCCACACACGGAGCCCGCAGAGTCCTCACACTCGTTGATATCTATCCCCGGAGCCACAAGAGAGGGTGGAAAGGGCACAGAAGCAGCCCACTGCTTTAGCCTGGCCTATCTGGTAATACAAAGTCATGGCCTGCCACCGCTGGGGTCCTTAATCTGGGCCCCATTCCTGTGCTCATCTCAACCCTAGTCCATCAAGTTCAGGACCACAGCCCCCTTCCCAGCATCTGGGAAGACAATTGCTTGCTAAGAGGACAGCCCTGAGCTCCTAGCCTTGGGTGAGCCCTTTTCCCTCTCCCACTCTCCTGACAGGCCGGGCCCTTTACACCAAACCTTCACCATGGTGTGTTACAGAGTTGGCCCCACAGCTGTCTCCCTTGCTCAACTTCAGGATTGCCCATAATTGTCCTATTTTGCCCTGGCAAAACACCTTGGACCTAGAAGGTGTTCAGTAAATGCCTACTGGAATGAATCAGTGTGGCGCGTTAAAGGAGTTATGCCAGAACAAGGATCCCAGTGTCTTCATTTTGTGACCTGCAGACAGCCCCTCAGGCTCCACAAATGCATCACCCAGTGGACGATTTTTCTGCAGGAAGTGCTGTTTCCTGGGAGCTGAGGGTCAGGCAAGGGTGGAGGTGGGCAGTTGTGGGGCAGCCCTTACCCACACACTCCCCACCCTCCGGGGAGGGCTGGAAGCCAGCCTGGCACAGACAGCTGAAGGAGCCCTCGGTGTTGACACAATGCCCTTCTGGACACTGGTCTGCTGCGGCACACTCGTCCACATCTGGAAGAAAAGGCCCAGGGGAAGGCCAGGATGCTCAGGGTGAGAGACCGTCAGAGAAGTGGGAGAGCCCAGAGCTGGTAGCCAGGCTGGGGCTCTATAGGGGAAAGGGGGAGGCACTGCAGAGAGGGCACATGTCTTCCTGAGCGCTGAACGCCCATCCAGCCTCCCCTCCCTAGGTGGGGACATTCTAGTTTAGTAAACCAGTAAACCAGAAGCCAAGTGCACTCTGACTCATGGTGACCCCCATGTCAGAGTCCAACTGTGGCTGGTTTTCTGGAAGTAGATCATCAGGTCATTTTCTGAGACACTGCTGGGTGATTTGAACCTTCAACATTTTGGTTAGCAGCAGCATGTGTGACTCCTCTGTTCCATTATTGATAAGTGTCATTGAGTCGACTCCGACTCATAGTGACCCTGTATAGGGCTTCTGAGAAGTGGCTGGTGGGTTTGAGCCGCTGACCTTTCAGGTAGCAGTCCAGTGCTTATCCTACAGTGCCACACCAGGACCTTGTGTTGTTAAGTGCTGTCAAGTTGTTTCCGACTCATAGTGACCCTTTATAAGGTTTCCAAGGAGCAGCTGGTGGGTTTGAACTGCTGATTTTTCAGTTAGAAGTATTTATCCTACAGCATCACACCAGGACCCAGTACTAATAAGACAATCCAGGACAACCAACCAGTTTTTTTTCCTTCAGACATAGTCTCTAGCGCCCCCTGCTGTCAACCAGCAGGCATGGCCATGCTGGCTTCTCACCCAGGCAGCTGGTGTCGTCCCCGGCCGCGCTGGCAAAGCCTGGCGCACAAAGGCAGAAGAAGGATCCGTGGCTGTTGAGGCACTCGCCGTGCGGTGCGCAGTACTCCTCCCCCACGCACTCGTCCACGTCTGCAGTGAGGCGACGGGCATGGTGTCCGCTGTGGACCACTCCACCGCGCATGCCCTCACTGTCCCATGCCCAGGGGGAGAGGCCACTCACCCTCACACACGGTGCCATTGACCAGTCGGAAGCCTTGGGGGCAGAGGCACTTGTAGGAGCCGACCACGTTCCTACATTCGCCTCCCCGGCAGCTGCTCTGGGGATCTTCACACTCATCCACATCTAAAAGGCGGCACAAGGGAGGCTGGCGGCTAACGGGGAGGTGTCCAGAGGAGACTGGACCCATGGGGGCCTCATCCTTTATAAAGCAGCACGCCTTGGGGGAAGAGGCTGACTCATAGCTGTGCACCTCTCCCCAATCCCTGCCTCAGCCGGCCTCCTGCAACCGTGGGGGTCCTTGGCCTGGGAAGGTCAAACCTCACTGTTCTTGTTTATCAGGGTGGAGATGGTTTAGACTTTACTGAGAAACAAGGGGAAACCAAAGAGACTCTGAGAAACCGAGGAGGTTTCTTAACTTTCGAAAAGTTGGTCTTCAGGTTGCCTGGACATTATTTTCAAAACACAGTCCCACAGGCTCTCCCATCGAAGTTAGAAGAGCCTGTTAGAAAAGAGATTCCACGCCTCCCTCCTACGTCTGATTTGGTGGGCCTGTTCTATCAGGCCCAGGAAACTGGGTGTCTGACAAAACGCACCAGTGAAGCTGACCTACTCTGGAGTTTGTGAACTTGGTCCACTAGACCCAGGACTGTATTTGCCCACCTGCTCCTGTTTGGGGGAGGGTGAGAATAGGTGTCCCCAGGTCACCAAAGGGGCCTCTCTCCAAGGATGACAGGTTAGTGTCCCGAGTCCCCATATGCAGTAATAGCCTCTTACCTTCACAGGTGCGGCCCAGGGGGCTGGGTCTGTAGCCAGTCTCACAGTCCGTACAAGAGAAGGAGCCCACAGTGTTGGTACACATCCCCGAGGGACAGATTCCCGGAAAGGCACACTCATCTAGGTCTGGGTCAGTCAGACAGCAGGTCACCCAGAGGACTGGAAGGGCTACCCCAACACCACAACCTCACTGCGCCTCTAGCCTCCCTCTCTGACCTTGTAGGACACTCTGGGGAAGGTCAGTGCCTGACTGTGGATCCCCTCCCAGAATTGCCACTTGTCTCCATGACTCCTTTTCCTCCTGTCCCCACCTTGGAACTTGAGGAATCTGACATTGGCAGCCCTTCTTGGGTAAAAGTCAGTGTCGGATTATCCAACAAGCAAGGCAAGCGTGGCTTACTTGTGCCTATTTACTAATCTGTAGTGAACATTTTATACTTTTCACCACATCAAAGATTAGTAATAAAGCACAAGTAAACCTGTGCTTATCTTGTTTATTGGGTAATCTGCCCCTAGGTCAAGTCCATTTACAGGGCCCAACCTAAAGACCCTCAGTTTCAGGGATGGGCCATCCTCTGGGTGGCTTTAATCTCAGGTCAGCCCAAAGCTGGGGGGCAAATGGCGTGTTCTTTGGGAGATATGAAGGACGGCATTCTCTGCTCCTCCTTCCCACACCTCTCCCTACCCTCAGAATTACCTTCACAAGCAGTGCCATCTTCATTTACCCAGTATCCGCTCTCACAGGCTGAGCAGACGAAGGAGCCCTCAGTGTTGAGGCAGAGGCCAGTGGGGCACGCAGCCCGGCTGGCACACTCATTGACATCTGAAATGGGTCATTGGGTTCTGTGGGGAGGCCATACCCAGGGCACCCGAGACTGACAGGCCGGCCAGGGGAGGGAAAGGACAGGACTCAGCATTCCACAGAGCAGGTGGTCATTCAGAGGGATGTGGGACCAGGAGTAGATTCAGGGGGTGGGGGCACAGGAGAAGTCACAAGCTAGATTGGACTGCTAACCTCAAGGTTGGCGGTTCAAACCCACCAGCCGCTCTTTGAAAATGCTATGCAGGGTTGGAACCGACTCGTCGGTACTTAACAAGAGGAGGTAGGATCCTTCAGATCGTTATACCTTGGCAGCCCTTCTCATCTGAGGTGACCGTGTAACCCTGTTCACAAGAGCATTTAAAGGAGCCGTCCAGGTTGATGCACTTTCCATGGGTACAGACCCCCGGGGTCAGACACTCATTCACATCTGTGGGAGAGAAGTCCAAGATGGTGGACGGTGTCTTCTCCTTCATGCAACCCCGTATCTTGTTGTTAAGGACCATCAAGTCGGTTCCGACTCAGTGACACAGTATAGAATCTCCAAGGAGCATCTGGTGTGTTTGAACAGCCAACCTTGCTGTTATTGGATTGTTCAGAGCCACAGCAGGGCTTTATCAATAGGTTTACTGTAGCTCAACTATGAGGCTAGGGAATCAGTCTTCAGGGGAGCCAGAGGCCACCCTGGGGCCTTGCTGCCTCTCCTGCTCCTGGCCCCAATACCTTAACAGGGCAGTATGTCCCCCCACAATGGAGTTCACTTCATCCTACATTTGTCCTAGAAAAGAAGGCCAGGGTTGCGTGGGCCTATCTGAGGATGCCTAGTGCGAGGTGTCCAAGATGCTGGACTCACCTTACAGTGGGTCTGAACCACTCTGGCCTCCTACCTGCCAACCAGACTGGTGTGATTTCATGTTCCCAGCCCAACAACCAACTGCAATGGGTGGGTGGGTAATGTGGAAAGGCCAGGCCAGTCTTGAGGGCCTGGGAAATATCTGTCCTCTCAGATCTTCAAAGCATGTATTCAAAACTCAGCCTTCCCTCCCCCACTGGCATTCTGAACCCTGGGCCCTTCTTCCTGCGGGGGCTGAGGGGAAAGAACACTCCTACGGCTGACACATAACCCCTTCTGGGTTAAGGCTGCTTAGATGTTGAGTAGAGATGCAAAAGAGCTGATGACTCTGCCTCCCTAGGAATGGCAGAAGGGTTTGGCTTAAGGCTGACCGCACTAGTTAGTCTTCCTCATCCTCTCCAACAGAATCCAGCCACAGAAGCTTCTAGGACCTTGAGCTATATAGCTCCTGGACAGATCAGACCAAGGAGCAGAAGGGGTCCCCACCCTAGCTGATTCAGAGGACAGAGCAGCACACACCCATCATGCCCAGTACCATCAAGGCTGGGCCATGGAGGACAAGAGCTTCAAAATTGCTTCTTTCTGACCACCTGTGTGTGGTCTCAACCAGAGGTCCCAAAGCCAAACAGTGTCCTGACAAGCAGCCCTTACCTACACAGCTCCCGCTCTGGCCCCTGTAGCCCTCCTCACAGGCCAGACAAGTGTAAGAGCCGGGGGAGTTGACACATCTCCCATCAGGGCAGGTGCCAGGATGACGGCATTCATTGATATCTGCAAAATAACAGGCCCTCCCTTAGTCAACCCTGGGAACCACAGCACATGGGTAGGTCTGTGAGGAAGCAAATCCTTGACCCTGCCCTGGGTCGGGAAGAGGGAGGTCATTTTCTATGCAGATGAAAATAGGAAAGAGTGAGTGCTGTCCTGTGTTCCCAAGCTCTGGTCATCAACTCCACCTCCCACCCACTGTCTGAGACAAAAGCGAGAGATGGAAGAATTTAAACATTAGAAAGAGAAACTCCCTGGGTGGTTGCAATAGTCCATGTTTACCAGTAGCTGTGGGAGGATCAGAGAGCTTGCCTTTGTAAGCTGGGCTCTTTGGGGTGGACCTTTAGATCTCCCTGGTGAACTCCCAGTTCTTTACAAATGGTGACTATTACTGGAATTGGGTGTGCTTGGCCCAGCAACCAGTTGGATTGTTGCCAGTGGTCTTAGAATAGATCACCCAAGGGCAATAAAGGCAAAATGGGTTTCCTTGCACCAGGAAATGAGGCCTGAGGATGACTACTTCATCTTGGACATGATCAGGACAAAACTGGATGCTGTGGGAGAGGTTGGCAAGCTGTTTCTGTTGGAGCAGTATCAGACCTTTCTTCCACTTAGTAGGGCGCCTAGCACCTATTCTAGTGAGATCCCCGCCAGAAATGATGAGCCTGAGAATGAACCAACCAGGAAGACAGGGCCCAGGGGGAGAGAGGTTAGCCGGTAGTGAAAGAGCAACAAGGAGAAGGAGGTGGGAGGTCTTGCTCCCAGGAGATGTAGGGCAGGGTTCTTCCCAATGAGATCTGGCATCCTGCAGAACCCAACAGAGCAAATATCCCTAGGCACCCAAGGAGGCTAACTTAGGGAGGTCATATCATGGGGACTAAACTCTGGGAGCATAGTGGTTATAAGCTGGGCTGCTATCCTCAAGTTCAGCAGTTCGAAACTACCAGCCATTCTGCAGGAGAAAGATGAGACTTTCTGTTCCTGTAAAGATTTACAGCCTCAGAAACCCTATGCAGGGTCACTTAACAACAACAAACTCTGGGAAGGTGTCAGGTTGTTTGGACTGCAGGACACATCAAAGACCCCTGTCCCTCTGAAGCCTCAAACCCAGTGTGCCAAGAGGGTCCAGAGTAGGAAGATATCCCACAAGCAGGTGGTCATTCAGAGAGCTTGAATAGGAGACACCTAGAACTTTCCAGGACCAATGCAAGCAGTCTTGAGGATACTAAAATAAAACTCATCTCTGGAGACGGCAGCCAAAAGGCCCAAGGTGGGTTGTGTTGGCACCAGGCTAAAATATTCTAAGGTTTCTACAAAGGCAGAAGTGGAGAAAATGAGAGAACTGAAGGGTCTAGGCCCACCCATTTTAACCACCCAGGAGAGAGCAACCATGGCCTAGTGGCCTTGGTTGAAGTAATGATGGATGAAGGAGGATGGACAAAGCCATTGGAAATGATGAGTGATTCCTGCTTCAGGGATGTTAAGACTTCAGAGACAAAGAGAAAAGAGTTTGAGGCAAGGATTCTCCTCAGACCAGGCTGAGAAAAAATGAAGTGTTTGTACCTCCTACCCGGGGATCAGGTGATATAAGACTGTATTTACCAGGAGTCCTGGTGTAAGATAAGCAATGGACCACAACGTCAGTTTGAACCACAAGGCCAAAGGTTCAGACTCCTCGGAAACCCTATACAGGGTTGCTATTAGTCAGAATTGGCTTGAAGGCACTTAACAACAACAACCTCTTTACCAGGAGCAAGGAGCCTTGAAGTCTATCTTGCCCAGCATAGCCTGTGGAGGTGGTATACAAAGTGTTTAATGCTGGGCACTTAGGAGCCATGTGTCACTAACTGAGCACTAAAGAGTCCCAGATCCCCACTTTCGGGCCATGGCAGGCTTGCGCTTCTCAGCCCCATGAGATTGGGTGGGGTCATGGGATTACTGCTGGCCAATGTATTATGAGTGAATACGACATGTGTAATTTATGGAACAAAGCATTTAATTGTGTGTAACCCTCCCAAGTGCTTTTTAAATAATTTTCTGTAGAGACTGGCCACACTTGAGATACTAGCTTGTCTTGAGCCTGATTCTAAAATAAGAAAACATGACAGACATACAGCATTGGTGAGTGGTAAGCCTTGGCCATTCTAACTCACTAAGATTGGGGATATTTGCTAATGCTACATAACCTAGCTGGTCCGAATGCACTACTGCTGGCTCTCCCCCGCAGTCCAGAGAGTATCATACATGGGAGATCTGTCAGCAAGTGGGAGAGAGAGGGCAGGAGATGGGAGCAGTCTGGAGTCTTTACCTGATTTGGGTCAAGGCTCTCCTGAATCGAGTGAATGAACATAACTGAACCAGTAACCAAGTCAATCACAAGGAGCCTGATGAAGTTTCTGGAAGAAGTGGATTCTGTGGCCAGATTTCCAAAGATGGCTCCACCCATTTCAGTGTTTGGACTGGGGCCAGTCACTAGGTGAAGATTTTCTGCCTACCCTAGGGCTTGAGTTCCGGTGTGACACTATAGGATAAATACTGGACTTCTAACTGCGAGGTTGGTGGTTCAGACTCACCAGCCCCTCCTTGGAACCAACTCAAGACAGTAACAACAACTAGGGTTTGAAGTTTATCTAAAATTATGGTATGTTTTAGTAAGTTGTTGAGGGCAACTTACTATTACTGTTTTATCTATTGCTAGCTTTCCTAGCATATAGTTGGCACATAGCTTCCAGTTAAACAAATGTTTACTGACTAATCAACAGGAATATGTGCCTAAAACATCACCCATCACCCTCTTGGTGTGAGGCTGTTGAAGAGATTCCAAAAGATCCGCGAAAACAGTTACCTGAGGAGTCTGCTGCCCACAAAGACGGAAGCCCACAGCTTAACAGGACTTTAGCCTTCTAAGAGCATGGAGCAGGGTAGGGGGTGCTTGGTCAGCGGCTAGAAATTCAGGTGAGCTTGGATGAGGTGGGGTTGGACAGCAAAGACCCTGGCAGTCTGCAGGGGTCCATAGGAACCTGGAGACCAGGTATGATGGACATGCCATTGATCTGGTTGGATGGGCCATTCTCCAGACCACTCAGGCCTTTAAGCACAGCTCTTGAGTTTTAAGTGGGGAGTGTGGTTTCTTAGTTGGAGAAGGAAGGAACAGAGAGAAGAAACTGACTGGGTTCCTGGGGTGATGGGAGAGGCCTGTGGTTCCTGGTAGAAACTTGGAGAATTGTACAGACAACATCACTCTTTCTTTCAATAGACTCAGAGTGTCTGTTCCTGGGCCAGGAACTGAGCCTGACCTCCCCACGGAGGTGTGTGTCTAGCCCTTTCCTCTGGAAGAGAAGGGGGCAACTCAGAGGAGTGGATGGGAAGCAGGAAGAAACTAGGTGGGGCAAAGAACAGACCAATATTACTTAATATTTATAGTTACATATATTAGTGAAATCATGAAGACTCCTTTACTGATAGGCTGTATGTGCCAGTGGCAAAGCCAACTACTTGGTACATATTAGGTTATTTGGTTTTCACACAAGCCTCTGAGACAGGCATTAACAAAACCTCAAACCTAAACCTTAGAGTGAACGCTGACTCACAGTGACCCTAAAGGACAGTGTTGCCCAGACTGCCAACCTTCCAGTTAACCCCTGTGTCCCTCACATGGGCATTATGGTCTCCAGTTTCAAATGCCAAGACAAGAGTCAGACCCAAGCTTGGCTCTGACACACAGCCTGTGCTCTTAACACATCCTACTTGGTTAGCAAGCATTTCACACGTTTTTATGTTTTTAATGTTCTGATACGTTCTTGGTTCATCTCTGTTTTTAATAAAGTATAATGCCAAAAGAATAAGGTTGTCGTGATGCTTAAGTTAGGTGATTATCTAGTACCTGGCACAGGGACTGGTACACAGTACCGGCTTCCATCAAATACTGACTCCCTCACCTTCCTTTGTCCTAGAAATGCCAGGCTGTCTTGCCACCATCATGCTAATAGGGACAGGGCTACTGAGTAGGTTTCGGCTTTGACCATGTCTAAGCCTCGGTTTTAAAGGAGAAGCACCAAGAGGTGCTTGAAAGACCCTAGGTGACACACAAGAAACTTTCCTCTTGTGTGTCCCCTGTCCTACCCCTGCCTCCTTCTTCATTAAGACCTTCTAGATGCTGGTGTTTGCTTCCATTGTAGTAGTGGGAGAAAGCACACTCTCCTTTCACAAGGTACACAAGCCCACCCTTCACCTCCAGGGCTCCCTGGAACCAGGCAAGTCCTAGACAGAGAAAGCTGGATGCTGGGATGCATCTGAGCCTAAGTTCAGATCCAGGACAGGGTTTCTTTCCAGAGAAAGCCTTGATTTAGCCTCACTGATTCTTGTCTCAGCCGATCTTGGGAGCACGTGACCTAGGCCTCCTGCCAGCACCTGACACCCGTGGAAGTAGATCTGCCAGCAGGTTTTCAGAGCTGGGCTGATAAGGGAAGGCTATGAGGAGGCCAGGAGGCAATGTGGCAGCTTCCTTTTGGCTGGGCTTGGGAAGCTGGGAAGATTCTGGATTTTCTCATTCATTCATTCAGCAAAGACTGTTGCATGTTCTATCATGTGTCCATCTATGGCTAGCAAGGAGTTCACAGTCTACCTAACGCGATTTAGCAAGAAGGTCAAGGCCAAAGCCCCAGGTAGACAGACTCTTCCTCTTTTTCAAGAGAAGGGGGCAGATACCACAGAAACAGAAGGGACATTCTCGGGATCTCTTAAAGACAGAGTTACTTGTCCCCTCTCCACTGTGGACAGCAAACAAGATGCCAAAATATCATCAAGGGGACAAAAGAACTCTGAAACCTCCAGATGTGTCTCTGTCCACAGAAGTGGGCTCAGTCTCAAGGGGCCCAGTTGGGGACAAGCTAGAAGGGAGTTGGTGGTGGGCAGTACATGCCAAGGGACCAGGAGATGGAGTGGGTAGGAGGCTGCTCCCCGATTCCTGTTCTTACCTTGGCAGTGTCCCTTCCTGACCATGATGTAACCCTGGTCACACTCGCAGTGGTACGAACCCTCGGTGTTGGTACACTGCCCGCTGGTGCACACCCCTGGCTGTTCACACTCATCTATATCTGCAACACACGGAAGAGTCCTGAGTCAGGGCCACGCCTGAGGGGGTCCTGGCTTCCCTGCCAGAGGCCATACTGAGGCCCTGACATGGGAGGCATCCTTGCTGCAGCCACAATCAGCAGGAGGGTCCCCTATACCAGCTCTGACACGGATCCAGCACAGACCTCAGCTAAGCTTTAGCTCCTTCATCCCAGAAAGGGTTCTGTTTGGACCCCTCAGGGATCTTCCAGCTGTCCCTTCATCCTGATGTCAGACTGAGAACATGCCTTATTTGTTTCAGAGCCCCCCATGCCCAGCACAGAGGCTCACTAAGTGTTGATTGAATGAATCAAACAATCCTTTGTGAATAGTGTTTTCATCTGAGCGAGGTTTCATAGAACTGAACTCACTGGCAGCATGTGTGAAAATGCACTCACAACCAGACCTTCGGCCCCAGATGCACTGGGTAGGCCCAGGAACCTGCATTGTAATACTTTCCCAAGCAATTCTGAAAGAGTTGGTCCTTGCTTTAAGAAACTCTAACCCTATAGGAACAAAACAGGAAACCAGAAGGCAGAGCCATGTGTAGAAACTTGATAAGGAACTCACAAACCAATGGTCCTAAGACAATTTTCTGATGGATGGTGCTGGAAAAACATTCTCACTATATGGAGAAAAAGAAAACTGGGCTTTTCACTTAGTGCAAAGGTGCACTTCAGCTGGATTAACGCATAAATGTGAAAGGTGGAAATAAAAATGAATCAGGCTGAGAACCACAAGGTTAGCAGTTCGAAACTACCAGCTGCTCCACGGGAGAAAGAGGAGGCTTTCTGCTCCTGTAAAGATTTACAGCCTCGGAAACCCTGTTCAGGGTCGCTATGAGTTGGAACCGACTCTACGGCACTTAACAACAACAATGAAGGACTTCCGGCAAGATGGCAGACTAGGTCAATTTACTACACATACTTTCAACAAATATGTTGAAATATGCTGTGAAGCGCTTTTGGGACAGTTCAGACTCTTAGCGACCTTGTGTAGAGTTTTCAAGGAGCAGCTGGTGAGTTTGAACTGCTGGCCTTGTGGTTCAAACCGACCTTCTGATACAGTACTTTATCCCACAGCGTCACACCAGGACTCAAATATATGACAGACCAAATGAAGCAGACACGGATGAAAACCTTTGGAAACCTGAACTTCAGAGGAAAGGTTAGAGCAATGGCTTGACTGCTGTCTGGGAGGAGAAGTTGAACAGGGACAGCGAGAGAGGGAGACTTATTAGTGAACAGTCAGACAGATGTGGTGCAACCTTCTTGAACTTTTAAAAGCAGTTTTGGTGGTAGAAGGTGGCCTGGCAGAGCAGGTTCACACAGGTGAAAGGAAAGGTGTGATTCCTTTTTCATCCACACTCCTCTGGTGACCAGCTCCCATCCTAATCCTCTCCCTGCTCAGTCACATGGCTGAAAACCACGCCAGCATGATGTAGAGGCTGCCTATGTCACTTTGGTGCCTGGATTCAGGTGGGTTCAGTTCCAGACCTACAGAAACCGCAGAGCCACCAGACCAGCATTTAACCAGCTACCCTGTCCTAACAGACACTGAAACCTGCTCCTTTGAGACATCTGAATTGAGTGTTCTGCACATAGGTAACACGCAGGCCGAAAGAGACTCAATCTAAGGCCAGGAACCCTGCTCTCACATCCCTCCCACACTTGCCTCATGAACTCCCTGGCTTGTAGGAGTCCCCAAGAGTTTTCTCCTCTCTAGGTCCAATAACTGCACTGTTTTTTATGCTTTTGTTTCGGGATTTGATATTTTCCTTTTGCTGTTTCATTGTTTTTATTTGTTTATTCTTTCTTTCCCCTCTTCTCTTTCCATTCCCTTGAATTCATCCTTTCTCTTTCCACGTTTTCCCCTTTCTTTGCTTCTGTTTCTCATTTCGTCTCTTCTTTCCTTCCTCCCCTCATTGGTCTTTACAGGAGACATCAACTGTGCCCTACAGCCCAGCCACAATAGCCTCTGCAGCTCCACTGACTGGGCAAGAGCAAGTACCAGCTCCTGTTGCTCCTCATCAATGGCAGATCGAAGCCAACACCAGCCAAACCCACCCTAAACTGAGGTGTACGAACAGCAAGCAACTAAAAAGAGAAAAGAAGGGCAGGAAAATGAAATTATAGAAGATAAAAGTAAACAACATTAAAACAAACAAACAAAAAAAAAACCCCACCAAAAATCAACACTTAGAAAAATCAGGGAGAAGGAAGATGAAAAGAGAATTCAATTCACAATAAAAAGTTTTAATTTTTTTAAACTGCATTAAGAGAACATTTAGGAGATGTTTGTGACCTATGGCTGGGGAAGGACTCTGAAACAAAGTTTCAAAAACACTCAAGAAGAGGCAAAGGGTGAATTTCAATACAACAACATGAAAAATGTCTGTACAAAGGACATGTGAATAACGTTAGTGGGCAGAGGACAGTATCTAAACCTAGCAAATGAAATGTTTCAATAAACTGATGCAGCACAGGAGGCACTTACTCATCTATACCAAGAAATTTGAAAGACAGTTACCTGACCAACTTACTGGAAGAGATCCATATTTGTGCCCATTCCAAAGAAAGGTGACCCAATGGAATGCGGAAATTCTTGAACAGTATCACTAAAGCCACATGAGAGTAAAATTTTGCTGAAGATAATACAAAAATGGTTGCAGCATTACATCAACAGAGAGCTGCCAAAAACTCAAGTCAGATTCAAAAGAGGACATGGAACTAGGGATATTTCTGACGTCAGATGGAGCTTGGCTAAAAGCAGAGACTATCAGAAAGATGTTTGCTTGTGCTTTATTGACTCTGCAAAGGAATTCAATGGTGTGGATCATGGCAAACTATGGATAATATTGCAAAGAATGGGTATTCCAGAACACTTAATTATGCTCATGAGGAACCTGTACATAGACCAAGAGGCAGTCGTTAGAACAACAAGGGGATACTGAGTGGTTTAAAATCATGTGAGCCAGGGCTGTATACTTTCACCATACTTATTTGATCTGCATACTGAATAAAATAATCCATATTATTTTGATTATATGAAGAAGAATGTGGCAACAGGATTTGAGGAAGACTCAACAACAACCTTTGATCTGCAGATGACACAACCTTGCTTGCTGGAACTGAAGAAGACTTGAAGTACTTAATGATGAAAATCAAAGACTACAGCCTTCAGTATGGATTGCACCTCAATCCAAAGAAAATCAAAATCCTCACAACTTGGTCAATTAATAATAATACATGATAAACAGAGAAAAGACTGAAGTTGTCAAAGACTTCATTTTGCTTGGATCCCCAATCAAAATTTATGGAAATAGCAGTCAAGAAATCAAAAGACTTATCTGCATTAGGCAAATCTGCCCCCAAAGAGCAAAGATGTCAGTTTCAGGACTAACTTGTACCTGATCCACATCATCCTATTTTCAATCATCTCGTATACATGCCAAAGCAGGACAATGTATAAGGAAGACTGTGGAAGAATTAGTTTATTTGAATTATGGTGCTGGCAGAGAATATTGAAAGTACCATGGAATACCAGAAGAGCAAACAAATCTGTCTTGGAAAAAGTACAGCCAGATTGCTCCTTAGAAGCCAGGATTGCGAGACTTTGTCTCTCGTACTTAGAACATGTTATTAGGAAGTACCAGTCTCTGGAGAAGAGCATCATGCTTTGTAAAGTGGAGGGTCAGCAAAAAAGAGGAAGACCCCCAACGAGATGGATTGACACAGTAGTAACAAGAAAAGGTAGAACCAGGTAGTGTCTCTAGGAGTCAGAGCCCACTCGATGGCACCTAACAACATAACAACAAACCTAGCAAAGTATCTGTTGTTGTTGTTGTTGTTGTTATGTGCCGTTGAGTCGGTTCTGACCCATAGTGACCCTGTACAGCGTTTCCAAGGCTATAAATCTTTACGGGAGCAGAAAGCCTCATCTTTCTCCCATGGAGCAGCTGGTAGTTTCGAACTGCTGATCTTAAGGTTCACAGCCTGATTTGTAACCACTGCGCTACCA